TATATATATATATATATATATATATATATAGGTATATATAGAATTTAATGATATAGTATCAAAAATTTTTTATGAATAACTTATGAAGCTAAAATCGACCGTCAGTTATATTTAAAAAAAAGTCGTTTAAAATAATGACTTTAAGCATATTTCAAACTTATTAGATCGATGAGAAGAAAGATTATTAATAGATTGGTCTGAATAATTTTTATAATTATAACGATTTGTAACGATTACAATGCATAAAAATTAACGAAACAAAATTATATTAATGAAATTCGATCGTAATTGTATTGTTGATACAAGAAAAATTCAGATAATTGTCAATTTCTATATGTTTAGAAAAAGAATTGATTGACTAATATTGACTTACATAATGTATTGAAATATATTAATTTTGAAGATATTTACAAATGAAATTTACAGTGCACTTATAGAAAAAAAAATATAGAATCCAAGTATTTTATTTTTCGTGCATCTTACAACAATATAATTGTATGAAGGATTCCATTTGTTTTTTAGATTTTACTAATCTTGTCCTCTAAATTCTCTTTTTTACTAAATATCGCTTAGTAATGTTTAGAAGCCTGAAACAAAAAATTGATACGAAATCTCATTTTCCTTTAAAATTTTGTTTTCGCTTTAGAGTTTTAGATTTAAAATTACTTATTCATCTAATGATTTAAAAAATTTTCAATCTTTTTTTTTTCTTCAAATAGGATGTAATTTCTTTAAATGAAAATATATTTACGATCAAACTTCATTAATAGTAATTTCGTTTAATTGTTTAACATTTTACAAGCAACAAACTGCCTGATTACAGTTCTGAATAGAAACGTTTTTTTTTTTAATATTTAAAAATTATAAATAAATCTAGAATAAATCTAGATATATACTATTTATCAATCTTTTATTTCGTATTAAGCTTTTTTGAAATAAATAACATTTAAAATTCATTTCAAAAATTATTCATGATTCATGATTTCATTTAAAAAATTAAATAAATTCATATATTTCTAATGCTACGATTGGATTTTGTATGCAAAAATTATGTATGTATCCATATCCATAATCTTGTTTTTATTAATTTAGTAAAATGTAGATTTCAACTCGATCTCGTATTATGTTATTGATATTAATTAGTTTAATAAATATAATGCTATTAGCATTATTTTTTGTTAAATTATCTAATAGTTGTAATTTCTATATATATATCAATACTAAAGTTATATTTCATGAAAATTTATATTTCAATCTAGAAGATTTTTAATCAAAAAACTCCTTTTAAAAATCTATTTATAATTTTATTATCTCTAATGTTATTTTTTGATGATTAGAAAAATCCGATGTAAATTCAGTATCCCAATTTTTCATAGCATTTTATGAAGAATTGGAGAATATACTGTTTGATAGAAGAATCCTAGATTTCTTTCACTAGAAAATCTTATTCATTATTATCCATTATCTATTCTAATTTAATTATTTATTTTAATTTTTCTTGTTTCTATTAATTTTTAATATAAATCTGTATTTAGATACGAATTGAAATGTATTTACGAATACATTTAGGAGACAAAGATAAAAATTAATGCTTCTCTAATTTGCAGAACTTAATTGTTCTTTTTCTTTAGCATGGACTACATGACATTTTGATTTTTTTTAATTTCTTCTTGATAATTAAGGTTAATTATAAGATAGTATTCCTGCATTACTTACCTTCTTATATTGACTCTTCTTTAAATTTATAATATTTTGTATTCTTACAACAAATTTAAAATTAATTTATTTTCTGTAATTTTCTGTTATTTAATACAGAGAGTATTTTTTGTTAATTGTATTTTTGACATTCTTATTTTTTCTGATATTTTATGGATTTTAAATACTTATTTTTTTCTTTAAATTTCTAAAAAGCTATTCTCTTAATTTTTTTTTATTAGTATGAATTTTGTTTTCACAAAGTTTTGCACACTTCTGTTTTATAATGTTTTTTCAATTATTAAATTTACATGAATAAAATCTATTTTGTTCACTTCACTTTTCTTGTCTATAATATATATAAATATAATTATAAATATAATTGAGTTTTTTACTATGAAGAAAGAATTAATTTTTACTTCTCTGATATAAAAATAATATAAAAAATATATATAATCACTTTTCTTTCGAATTTCGATTCACAGAAAATTGATGATATTTTTTCTTTTATATTTATTTCTTAATATCTATTTCTCTTTTTCTTGTCTAATATTTTCATTTCAAAAATATTATGGAATATATCATTCAATTCCTTACATTTCGATGAACTTTTTAAGATTAAATTAAATTAAATTAAGATTTTTAGAATCTTTTTATCTACTACATTTATATTTTTGACTTATTCAAATTTCTGTTTTTCCTTAGTAAGATTTCTTCCTCTAATATTTTGAAAATGTTGATGAGTCTGCATGAAGCAGAAATTAATTATTAATTATTTTTTACAATTAATTAATTAAATATATAAAATTATTACTTTATTATTTCGAATCCGTCTTGTCTGTTGTGCAAATTCATGCAGTTTATATTTATTTTCGTTGATTTTATTAAATTCGATATATTAATTTTAAGATTTATCTTTCCTAACTATTTTCTATATTTTGCATTGCAACGCTTTTTTTCTTTTCATGTTTTCTCAAAATAATATTTTCTCACTTCCGCATTCTCTTGCCATTTATTTTTTTTATGTAATTTTGTTAGTTTTATAGCTAAAAAAATTATAAGAAATTAACTAGTTTTATAGTTAATTTTTTTATTCTTAGATTTAGTTTTTTGGACATCTTGTTGATTTAAATATTAACTGAGAGAAAATAAATCGCATTAATTTTTGTTTCAAATTATTCTATCTAAATTATTTCTATCTAAATATAATAATATAACGAAAAAAAAAACTTTATCAGTAATATAGAAAATAAAGCACGAAATATAATTATAAAAATCGATATATTGATACTATCAATTATATAGTACGAGGTAATCAATAATACTGTGATATATATTGAACTTAAACTCATTCTCTAATAATTTATATTTTACTGTACAAAACAAAGATATTTAAAAAAATATAATTATCATTCCTTGTTTAGATATTTCAAATTGAAACGCTGGTCACCATATCATATACAATTATGATACAATTCTATTCACTTAACTATAACATACAAAATCACAATGAGTACTTTCGAAAACAATTCAATCTATTTCCAAACTTTAATCAATGATCTTTGAATCACAAAAAACCGCAACATTTTATATAAGATTATTTAATTTTAAGGTATTTAATTTCTTTTTGTACTCTATATTATGTAATAAAAAATAAAATAATTAATATAAGTTAATTATTAAATACATACTTATAAAATAAAAATAGAAAATAAAATGAAATATTTTCCATATTTTATAGCACGTAGAGTAAAAAGAATAAGTATTAAAAAATATTAAATTAAATACTTTAAAATTAAATAAGTTATTGTGATTCAATGATATCATTCAAGAATTGAAAATCCATACAATATTCAGTCAATAAAAAATCACATTTTCATACTATTGTCTTTTTATATTACACGATGGTTAAGTATGATTATTGATATACATTTTACAACGATTACTAACCAACGCTTTTTTTTAACATTTTTTTTCTTATTTATAATTCTTTTCTCCTTCATTCATTCTTGTGAGTTATGTATGATATATTCTATATTATGATTAAAATAACAGTCAGTTTTTTGTTTCATATTTTTTACAGAAAATTCGTCGAATATTATATTATATTTATTATAAATCTCGTCGTTCAAGACATAAACAACTAACATTATGTATAACAATTATTCATAATATAGATAATATGCTAAATTTTTTTAATCTTTTTCATATACAATTCAATATACAATTTGTCACAAAAATACCTGATCATATTGTATTTCAATATAATTTCATAAGAAATATTTCTAAATATTTTTTTTATTATTAGATAATATAATATATTTATCATATTATATTCAAAAATAACAAAAATAGCATATTCATATGACTTCATCAATTATACGCAAATGTTCAGAAAATTAAAAATTTTGTTTATGTTTAATAATCTGTCAAATATAAGTTCATTTAGTTTTCACTTTAAATATTTTAAATTCGTTTCAAAATATTTTATCATTTACAATAGAATAAACATAGAATAATAATAGGATAAAATATATTTTATAATGAAGTAATAAAATTTCGGACTATTTTAATTTTCACTCTATTATTTAATAATAATATTTATTTTTTAATAAAATTTATATTTATATTATTTTACTTTTAGAAATATATTATTTTAACTATATTTTATGATCATATATGTTATAATTATATATCATTATACAATTTGTAATAGCCAATTTCTCCAATCTTTTATTCCTTTATGAAAAAGATCTTTATAGATACATTATTATTCCATATAAAATTCCATATTGTCTTGCATTAGGTATTGATGCAATTCTAATATAGATAACAATATGATCAACATAAATATTGATAACTATAATTTTTTCACAAATTTAAGATTTGTTATTTTATTTATAGAATTTAAAAATTCTAATTGAATCATCAATTCAAAAATAGATCACAGATAATAAGTATTTTTCTAAATCAGAATGCAAACAATATATTAAATAAAGAATTCCAAATATAATGAATATAATGTATAGATTTTTTATACGATACATTTAAGAAAATTTGCTACACTAATAAATAATATTATTATTAACAATAATCTAGAGAATTTAGATGTCATGATCTATTAGTATTATAGAATGTATATGTATCTACATATGTATACGTACATGTAAAAAACTAATAACGATTTATACAACAAACTAATCTAATTACTACGTACTAAACACTTTAATGATCGAAGTTATACTTTCGTACGTCCCAGTAATGAAACCAAGAAGACCGATCAAAACTATCAAGATGTCTTTCGATATTGTACAGATGCCCAAGGATGCATTTTGCCAGCATACAACCATTTCAATGATTGGTGGAAATATCAATGCTAGGGCAGTACTACTAACTGCACCGACTAGTGATATAAACAAACCCAGTTGAGGTATCGCCTCAGCTAGAATAACTGTAACAATATTTTTACAATTTATATTAAATTATAATAAGAATATTTTTATATAATTATTTTCAATTTTAATTATCTTTCATAAAATTAATACAAAATTATTTATTTATCTAATTTGAAAAAAGATAATTATTATATTTAAATGAAAAAAATATAGAAAAGAATCGAAGGCTAAAAAAAAAAATGAATTCATCGCAATATTGATAAAATTTTAATATATGAAACAATGCTAATCAGTGGATATCTAAAATGTTAAAACTCACTCGTTCATAATAATTTAATTATACTCAAATTATGGCTATTTTTGTGAAATTAACTTACATGAATATACTTTTATATATACTTTTTAAATTAATTTTTAATTAATTTTTAAATTACAATTATATAATGATAATGAATATAATAATGTAATAATTTTACATAAATAATTATATATATTAATTTATAATTATATTATAAATGATAATTATGATATATATAATAATTATAATAATGTATAATTTATTAATTAATAATAATATTAATAATATTAATAATATATTATTTAATAATTATATATATTTAATAATAATTAATAATATTAATAATATTATTAATATATATATATATATAAATTGAATTGTATATATGATAATTGTTGAAAGAATACATTTTTTTTTGTTTAATATTTTTGATCTAAAAAAATTCGTATAGAAAATTTGTGCATCACTTGCATGACAAAACACATATAAGATATTTTATGATTTTTAGTGTTCCTCGAAATTAATGCACCTACCATATGTACATTCATATAATTATATGCATATAATTATTTTATCTTTAATAATAATAATAATAATACATATGAAAACTAGTTGTAAAAAAAATTTGAAAAAAGACTAATAAACAACTTTTAATTAACACTTTTTGAGAATGAAATAGTTTCTTATGTATGTATTTTCTATGTTAAATTTGAATTCGACTATAAAAATTGTTTATTATATTATATTTAGAAAATAGATAAATAAAAAATAATAATTTTTGCTATATTCATAAAATGTAGCCAAAGAAAGAAATTCTTTTTCAATATTTTTATTTCGTATATTTTTCCTATAAATTAGATTTATCATTAAAGATTTTTTTATCAAAACATAATTCCTTGAAATTATTCCATTTTTAATCTAATGATTAAACAACAAAAAAGCAGTTTTTCCTTCGAATTTATTTTTTTTAATTAGAAGACTAATAGAATAAAAAAAATGTACTTATGATTCTTCGAATATCAAAATGTAATATTTTTCAATAAGTTTTTATTTATAACATTAAAAATGGAGTAACTTCAAAACGATATATGTCAGTAAAAATAATCTTATGATAACATCAAATTTGATTCTATAAGGAAAGAATATTTATATATATATACTATATATACAGTTGACAAAAATATAGAAAAAAATTATTTCAAAGCAAAAATCAATATTTTTTATTATTGATAACATAATAACATTATATGTAATTATATACTATGTAATTTTTACTAGATTTCCATTCAATATATAAAAACTAAATATTTAAAAATTTTTTCCATTATTAAATAATCTTATTTTTATTTATTATTTAATCTTATTTAATAACTATGTTATTATTTTCTCTTATTCATTTTCCACATAAATGTATCAAATTTCTAAAAAAAAAAAAATTGCCATTGAACTTTTATTGTTAAGGAACGAAAATCTTATGTAGATATAATATATATAATATAATATATATATAACATATATAAAATTTATATTAAAATTTATATTAATTTCGAGAAATACTGAAAATCGTAGAATGTGCTATTATTTTCTTTTGAAATTATATGTATGTAATAAAAAACAAAAATTTTCTATTTTACAAGAAATTGATTTAATAATAAAAAAAATTCTAATTTTAGTGCATGTAATTAGTGCATGATGTATATATAAACTATAATGAATTATATATAGGAAATTTTTTCGATAACAAAAAGTTTCTATAAAAATGTGAAATCAACTTCAAAAATTCAACATTTTTTTCAAGTTTTAAATATAATTTCGTTTATTAGTGACAAGATAATAAAATGTTAAATTTTGATAATGTTATATTTTATATATATATATACATATATGCATATACATATATGAATGTTGTAATTGTATTAATATAATATCTGTTAGTGTAAGAAATGTTTTTTACAGTTTTCTGATTTGTAAACTAATTTAATATATAATTAAGTTTCATATAGCTTATTTGGAATTATATATGTATCAAAAAAAATATATGTTTGGTTATGTAATATTTATACTTTCGCAAATTTTGTTTTTTGAATAATGAATATAATTGGTTCAAATCTATCTTATAAATTTATCGCATTCATTTTTAGCGTAAAGATTAAATTTGTA